CCTTACTTCACCTAACTTAACCCAATTCAACCTAACCTACCACAACACCTGCAGAGGTACCTTCCTGAAAAAATGACGCCCAGGGAGGTGTCCAACTTATTGGAATATTACCATGATTGCTTGTCAAAGTGTGTGTCATCATGCTCTTGTTTGACAACTGACAAGTGATGTTTAATAAATGAGACATTAAAAAATGGTCTCCTGACTGTTGAGTGATCAGAATATTCAAATAATCAGGGTACAATGCTGTGCATCATAGTGCACACTAATCATGTTGTTTTTGTGTAGGCCCTCTGCGCATTATTGTGTACACTGCTATGTGCACCTTAAGGAAAAAAAAGTGACTGGTGGTACATGACAAACAAAGGGTTGCACAACTGTGAAGTTCATGCCTTTGGTCTTGCTGGTGCCAAATGCCTATAGCTATAGCAGGATCAGTGAGGGTTGTAGACATGCTACATACACTGTGCAATGTGCATTGAAGATATTGGCTAAAAGTTCATCCATAACTACTATGCTCAACACCTAATGTAAGAAGCAACATAGGTAAATGCCCAGATGATACAGCAACAGCTCTCTGGTCAACATCACACAAGTTTATTGACATACTTTGCAGGTATATATTTACATTCATAGCAAATACTTTCGATTTGATTCAAAAACTAGGTGCTAGCAAGCTTGCATTTTAGTAGGTATTTACAACAATGACCATATATAAGTCATAAAAAACCTTCTCGTGGCATTCATCACATAACTTTTTATCGAACAAGCACCTATCTACCATGCAATGATTCTAAATTTTATCCGACATCCACCTATATCTCAACTGACACATTGAAATTAAAATACCCTAACAAAACCTAGAACTGTACATAAGAAGAATGCAATACAAGAACTATGAAGTTCTGAAGTTATTCTCACATGCTGGAATGTTGAAACTCTACTTTTGTCGCCCATTTCCACGTTTCATTGAGCCATCATTGATCATATACCTAGAACTGTTTTCGCTCTTCAGTCATAAGCTTTTGCACACATCTTGAATTTTACAGATCATCTTGAACCATGCTCCAGTCTTTCCAACAAGGTACTATGGAACATCAAAGCAATTTTGATTTGTTACAACAGCTTCAGATCATGATAGGCTTGAAATTAGTTACCTACACCATTTGCCAGACAAACCTCTACAAAATGTGTATCAATTTCAAAACTAAGCAATTGATTATTTCAGTATTTGCAGTTTCCACACAATGTTTCATAATATTATTCGATTTTTATATCAAGAAACTCAAATAATCCACAAATTGTTATTGAAACACTCCCACTTCAAGAGTTCACAGCAATAACAATACAAAATACAGAAGCAAACAAACATTGCGCCAGATTTCGTATGAAACGCGCCATCATCCTGAAGTTTCTACCACAGACGGTAGTTCAACCGCAGCCGTAGTGCGAAAACCCCTACCCACCTTACCCCACGGCGGAGCTCGGTTGCAATTTGTAAATACGCTGTTCAGCTCGTCAAGACGCATCGAATGATATACATGATGACCTCGAGGTCACGTGACCTGAGGTCAACCTTTGACCTTGACCTTTCGAGGTCAACATATATATCATTCGATGCGGATTGACGAGAGGATCACGATGATGCCCTTAGTTTGTTCCTATCTTGACTAATTCGAAAGTTATTCGAGAAAAACTCTCTCCATATCTAGCGCCGCCATTTTGACTTTTTCGACCCCTGTGACGTCATCTTTGACCTGACCTGAAAATGACCTTAGTAAAAATTGTAGATCTTGGCCGTGCGTATCCGATGCCGTTTACCGCTTGTCGCTATCTTGCTTCGTTCTCGAGATCTCAGGGGGGGGCCGAATCGGCCCCCCCCCCGCCAGTTTCTTGTCCCGGCGGAGCCCGCCAGGAATAGGGTTAAGACGTAACAAAAAGGTTATACGTGATTCTACTTTGTCTATGAAATGGCTATCTTGGTTTTTTGAAAATTTTGGATTTTGGCCCAATTTTTTTCTTCAAAAAACTGACTTTTTTGGAAAAATGATTATAAAATCCAAAATTTTGAGTGTATTGAAAAAAGCGGAATATATGTCAGAGAAGTGGTCCATGTGCACTTACATACCAAATTTTAGAAGAATCGGTTAAAAATGTAGGAGTTATTCAAAATTTTATGACGTCAAGACAAACCAAATTTTTGAAAAATGACTTTTTTGGAAGTTCTAGACCTCGTACGGGAACAAAAACAGCACCATTCGATTCGCCGTGAAAAACTGCATCAGATAGACACCTTTTTAGGCCTTAACAACCAACTTCAAAATTTGACCTCACTTGACCTGACCTTGACCTGACCTCGACCTGAAATTCATCCAGAGGTGGTCCATATCACTTATTGAGTGTGCCTATTGAATTCTATGAGTAAAATGACCCATAAAACATGTGTCGCACATGCCCTTTTCTATATTTTGTTTTTGGTGACCTGACCTGACCTGACCTGACCTTGACCTTGACCTTTGAATGACAGTGTATGCAATGAATATTGACTTGGTAGTCTAAAAACACGTTTTGGGCCATCAGTCTCAGTCCATTCTTCGGCAACTACGGTGCAAGGCCGATACTGTAGAAACTTGTATTTTGTACCCTTGACCTGACCTCAACCTGACCTCTGACCTACTTAAGCAAAAAAAATTTGGGCTCTTAAGATCCGCCTTGTTGAGAGCTTTCGATTGCCGTTTTCCCCGTCTTTCTACGACCATCGGTTCGGAAGTTAGACAGGGGGCAGAATCTGCCCCCCCCCCCCCAGCAGGGCGCGTATGGCTGAATAGCCCAGCGGGGCGCGGGTTAATGCAGGAAACCCACTTGATGGAGCTAAGGCCCAAGCTAACTGCAGGTATATATGGAAAATGGTCCAAAGTCCAACGGCACATTGGAAGCAAAATGACTTTTCCTTCTCTTTTCTCTAACTACGTGGAAGTGAACACGGTGTTACAATTTATATCGGTCACGGTGTCATTAAAAGAACACAAGACCTGACCTGGCTGTTCTGCTCCCGAAACGCCGAGCCGGTGACTGAAGGAGCATTGTCATCGTGAGATAATTGGGCGCAACACAAAGCTCCGGCTAAAATCACCATTTACGGCGCGAAGATAAAGGATGGAAATGGTTCGCTATAGAGATATGCGCTGACTAGTAGACTTCTGCCACAAACAGATGCTTTCCCTGGTCACAACAGGTATGTACTAGTTGATACGGGCCTGGAGTTAAATATGCCTGCATCCGTGAGATAGCGGAAAGGAGCATGCGACTCATGGCACCGTCGACAACGCTACTTCAATGGTAACTTATTCTAGCCACAATCAACAGTTCGCCCCACTACATTTGCATACTCCACTCCGTGGAACACTATACGACAGTCTCCGTTAGCTGCCGGTAGTACAATGTGCGTGGCGCGAGTTCACGTTAAACGCGACAGGTCACGGTGGTTGACACCGCCCGTATTACCACGGGTGCATCCTTCAGGCGATAAGTGCGGGGCGCAGCACGGTTTTTACAGTCACTTTTGATGATTGAACGCCGTTCGCCCCGCTTCAGAGACGTCCCGGGACCCACAGAAACCTCTCTGGGTGCGCCGGAGAGTAGCGGAAAACGGTGCCGAACCGCAGGTCGTGCCGGCGGCGAGGGTGATAAAGGCACACCGGAACCGACCACCGACACTCTGCCTCTTCTCCGCGCTCTGCCCGGCACCGGAACAGCCACCACGCGGACCGGAACCACGTGGCTTCCGAGTGGCTCGGCCGGGGCAGAGACTCCTTAGAAATCAGTGGATGGTCTGGGGTTACTGTGTGATCCGTCATAATTGTAATGGGAGGATGTTTAGGGTGCTTGGCTAGAGATGCGAAGATTCACATCATTTTGCCTCGCACCGAAGAAGGGATAGTGTTATTGAACGGATGCGTGAGAGATATAAAAGTAGAAGCACTTGCCCGTTTACGGGGATCAGCCATATGACCGGCTGGCAAACGCAACAGGAAGTTCACCGACTCGCGAATTAAATGCTAATTACCCGCAGCCCAAACAGGGCAGCACAGGACATTGGGGCTTCGTGCGGGTGTTAGTACAGGAACCAAATGAAAAAACTGTCATAATGAATGCAGAGCTTGGTTGTAGTGCCATGGAACGTTTATTGTGAGTATTGCGCATACCTAAATAAACAGGCGAGTAACCATTTTATTACTAACTGGAATCGAAAGGAGCCACGAAAATCACCGCCAATGATACGGCGGCCTAAAAAAAATGCATCGGATGAAGCTACTGAAACGGGTGTGACAAATCAAGAGCGCATATCTAATTACTGCGCCCAGGTGCACGTATCATCCTCATGCCCGGGGCATCGTGAACGGCCGGTGTCAGCGCTGACTAACCCTGTGACCTCGATCTTGACGCGGGTCAGACGTGAGAGTGTTGGGGTCAGAGGTCAGCATTTAGCAGTCAACACTCAGGGGTCAGCGCACGGTGGGATTCCGCCGTATCTTCGTCCACCGCGGGCCATCGGGGCTCGTTCTGGGACAGGGGCGCGGGCACAAATACAATTAGGGGGAGAAAGTGTCCGCCTGTTGTAATTATTTCAACCGCGCGCGTCGCTGTGAGGCGATAGCGTTTATCTGATGAGGATCTCCCTCGCCTCGGCCGAGACGAGCAATTATTTCCTGTCCTGTATGTCAGTGTGTCATGACTTGTTTTATCATCCACTCTCTCCTGTTTGACTAATGGCGGAATGATGAAAAAAGAAAATTCCAACTATAAGATTCCAGTATCTGGATGAATTTATAGATGTAAATTTTCAAAACTCTTACGGGCATGCTCAAATATCCAAAAGATAAACAAAAACATCCATGCAGACAATATAGGTTACAGGCAGCCCCTGGCTCTCTACAAAATAATTGCTGTCCGTACCGACGCCACAGATTTCAGACCTTCGCCATTGTCGAGCAACCCACCTTTTGCAGTCCGGCGTCGTTCTGGATGACGATGCTGTTCTCCATGTACTCTCTGCCGTCCTCATGTCGACTAAAGCGCGTGCCACACGAGTCGGCGCCGATGGCGAAGGAGCGTGACGTCCTCCCGCCTCCACCGGTCACGTGGTGGCAGCTCTTGGACGAGAAGTAGCCCTGCAGAGACAGCGGTGGGGTCAGATCGGACGAGGGGTGGTGGTTTGAAGGGGAGAACTAAAGGTGAAAAAGAATTTGTACCTAAATGACAATGCAGTATGGAGACTCATGCAGAGAGTCCAATACTCAGCCTCTAATGTATCACTCACATCAGAGGCCATCAGAAGGTCATAAGTTATGGCTGAGTAGCAATTACCTCACAAGTTACAATTGTGTAACTCCTGTAACCAGTCTGTAAGTGGTCACGGTAAGGCAAAGTTTAGCTTGAGCACGCCTCATGTGCACACGACATGACGGATGCGAGCACAGACACGCGCCGACCTCGGTGATCAGTAGTGAGTAGACGTAATTATCCCGATATCACCACAATTGAGTTACTGGTCCTATGATGTATGGTGACAGCCGATATGGTGAGGTAAGTGTTGAAATGGGATGATGCGCCTCATTAAACACGACAGGTGCTGGCAGTGTTCTAAAATTGGATTTTGGTTAGGTGTGCCGATGAAGAAAAAAATCATAGGATGAGAAAAATGAAAGAAATAACCGAAGTATATTAACAAAATGGTGTAATGCCAATTTGTATGTCAACTGATAAACCAGGATTTCATGTCAGAATCTTGACAGGGTGTGAAACAAAAGGAGGTGGGTGCATCAACTGTCAATTGACATATAAACTGGCTGTTGGAAATGCATGAAACTTTTTTCAGAGATTAAGTAAAGTCGGTCATTCATATTTCAGGGATGAAAGTATTTTCCCCATCAGGTGTGATTTGCCACCAAAACGTTTGAAAAATGGAACACTGGGTGCTGGGCGGTATAAGTTAGATTTGTTCTGTTTACAGCTTCACGCGTAGTAACGCTGCTCGTCTCTCCAATCGTAGCGTGTAGCTTTGTCACATAAACCAATTATCCGCAATTAAACCTCACCATTTCCGGCGTTTGACCCGCCCCTTTGCACCATGTGTGACGTCACACTCGGTGAAGTGATGACGTCACAAACGCGTCTCCACTACATACACACTCTGATTGCCGAGAAGGATACTCAAACGACCGATACTCGGCACGCTCGGCCGAAAATGGCGTCCGCTTGGCCGGCAATTTGACGACAAACAGCTCGGCGAGTTGGTGCCGAAAACCGGAAGGAAAGTTGTTGACAATGACACCGTGAAATGCCGCGGGCGGGACGAGGTAATTGCTTTCGTCTATAGATGGGGAGGTTCGCTGTGATATTGGGGACACCTGACAATAAAATACGCAGGACAGTCAGTTCGAGGTGGTTACAAAGCATGAGACTGAATTGTTTGTGTCGTTCAAAGTGATTGCTTTGATGTGTCGGTGGCAAATAAGTGACAAGAAATGGAGCGATAAATGGGTTTGGTGTTGTGGGCTCAGCCTGGTCAAAAGTGGCTGGCCTTCGGACCTAGGCCGTATAGACTGCGCTGATGTCGGTCGGTCACGGTGTAGACGATGCGTTTGCTGTAGGTAGTTAATTGATTTCGAAAAAAATGCCAGAACAGAGGGAATGCGATAGGTATGTTAGCACAATGGCCTGTGTGCTACCATGTCTATTGTCATAATACGTGAACAAGAGCAAAATCTAAAGCAGAAATCCAAAAAGCTTAGAAACTGAGATGCACGGAGATCGTTGGCTTACCTTTGAGTAAACGATGCCATTGAAGGGCCTGTCGAATTTGAGCTGAATCTGCATGTTGTCGGCTCCACACTTGACGTCGAGGGAGAGTATCTGGGGCGCGTTCAGAGGTCGAATCAGGTCGGCCGCGCTCAGCTGATCGACGTCCAACTCTGCAGAGGCAAGAAAACACAGAGGGTCAGATGGCAGACTGTAAAAGGAGATTGCATACAGGAAATCATGGAAAATAAATTAGAATGGTTTGTTCGTGAGTATTTCTATAATTCTGCACATCTAACAGATGCGCAACAAGGCAGCAGAACAGTTCTCGCAGTCACTTTGCCGTCGTTGCCTCTGACACGGGGCTCGCGAGACGGAGCAGAGAACATGGGTCAGAACTCAGATGATCCGGAATAGCTGTCAGGCGGTCCTGAATAATTGTGTTCTGCCAATAGCTGTCGTTACTTCTGAATCTGAACAGTTCCTCTCTGTCGACAGGACCATCGCTAGATAGCTGACGAAGGAGAGTGGGATATATGTGTGGTATGAAGGCACGCAGCGAGCCGCGGAGGGAAGTAACGCTTGTCACCTGGTGTAACACGTCACACGTAAGGTAACGATTCCAACGTGACAGGCAGACACGCCACTTACGAGCTGTTGGAGAAAGTTGATTCAGTCGGGCAAGCTGATTCGGAGGAGTTCGCGGAACTAAAAAGTAGTGTCCATTTACCTTCACAAATAAGAATAAAAGAAGTAACAGTAGCTTCTTTAAAACTGAAACCATTAGCTGATTTTGCTTCGGTAGAAGCCCATTTTGCTGCATGAGCTCGTCTCGGTCTGTGAGATAAAATCCTTAAGGCCGTGAAGGAAAACCGTAGGAGTTTCAATTGGCTAGCACAAAAAGGCATTGTTTTCGTGAAAAGAACTACGAATTTCAAGTCAGCCACCAGCGGACGTTCTACGAAAGCCTCTGCACAGTTCATCGGCTGCGGAAGCGGACCGTCAGTGCCCCCGCGGCGGAACCGTTCGGTGCAGCGTCACACCGCCGTGGGAATCTGCCGTGACGGTGTCACATCTTGGCGGCGCCCGTGGGAGGCGGCGGCTCTCACGTGCGCCACTGCTCGCCTCACGTCAGTTCGCGTCACTGCCAACCCCGCAGAATTTCGGCGAGCGATGACCGCCGGCCGGCCATGCAGAACCGTCCACCACCGGCACTAAATGAGGACTTTGTGGCAGTTCCAACGGAAAGGCAGCGAGCGTCAGCTTTAGGCAATTGACAGAATTCATAGCTGCGGCAGTTTTAACGGACGATCGAAGAGCTACTGAAGTTTCACAGAACAGGGTGTTGTGGCAGCTGTAACGGACAGGAGAGGACCTCTGGGAGCTTTGACACGGATGGGTGGGTGAGCCGCCGCAGGCGGCAGGTAATATGGACAGGCGAGTGGCTGTGGCAACTATGGGAGCAGCAAATAAAGCTGCGGTAGCTGTAGACGACAGGAGAGGAGCCGTCGTAGCTTTAACTGTCAGGGGAGAGCTACCGTTGGTACCGTAATGAACGACATGGAACAGTTCTAACAGACGACTCAAAAGCTGCTACACCTATGGCAAATAGACAAGGGGCTGTGACAGTTATCAAATTAGGAGAGGAGCTATACGCCAGCCACGCTGGACGCGGGAGCTGGTGAGACGCACAGCAGCTCTGAGCGGGCAAGTGAGGAGCTGCGGCAGCTTAACCCGCGAGTTGCTGGGGGGGGGGGGCGTTAAACGCTCCCACTTTTTTCGCCGGGCTATAGCATAAAAACGGCGCGCCGCAGGCGCGCCAAATTTTGCGTACCTGTAGGGAATCGATTGAAGTTTATTTTGACAAAGTTTAAAAAAAAATCGGTCGGAAAATTTTTGAGATATCAAGGTTTTAGTGACGTCATGATTTCTGAGTTTTCGACCAAAAACGGCATATGTTCAAAAAATCATATAAAATCACAGAATAGACATACAGACATGCCGTAAACGCCATCAGACTGCCAATACTATGAACAATCAAATGGCTATCTTCGATTATTGATTATCGTTCCGCATTTTCCAAAATCTTGAAGTGAATCTTGGCAATTTCTCGTGTCTACTTCACGACCATGATACATGCCTTTCTTAAATTTAACTTTTTGAGCCAAACACGTACATACGTACACATATGATAAAATTAATGTCACCATCGTGTTCTACGCCCCAAATTACCCATAAAACATGTGTCACAGGCTGCGAATATCAGTTCTGATTTTCGGGGATATGTGCCTACCCGGTTGACCTGACCTTGACCCTGACCTATGCTTGACTGACCCCTACATGGAGCTGACACTCTTGTAGGCCTTATATGATGGATTGTGCACCGTTTTGACAGAGTTTATGACGAGAGGCGCCCATTGCGAGGTCCTGAAGTCCATGCTACTGAAAGCCCGATTTCAGGTGTTTGACCTGACCTTGACCCGACCTGTGACCTCAAAATTCAAATTTAAAGTACTCATCTGAAGCGTCTCGTCGCGTTCTTTCGTTTGCCGCCTCGTGCGTTTCGCTGCGCCTATTGGTTCTCGAGTTATCGGCTGGGGGCGTTTAACGCCCCCCCCCCCCCAGCAAACGGTGGGTGGCGAAATACCCCAGCAACTGCCGGGTTAAGCGGGCAAAGACAGCGCAACGGCCCTCCATGGAACCCGGTCTCGTCGCGTTGCCACCGCCCTCACTGCGTCACGGCGTGCGCTATCACGTCACGTCACGCTGAGACACATGACGTCACGTCAAGTTACGATACGTCATATTTCAGGGCCTCCTCTAACATACCCACTGGGTGGGCAAATGCCCACCCAGTCACCACAATTGCCCACCCAGTGGCGTCGATTTGCCCACCCAGAAGCAAATGCAAAAATTCTGGTCCGGCCGGACGTCCGGTACTACCTTTCTGGTCTTAAGCAAACTGGAGGCTGTTTGAAGGTCAAAAAAAAAAGTTTTCTGGTTGCCCGATATTCAGGGGCGTAGTCAGAATTTCCTCAAGGAGGGGGCCAAACGCACAGGGGCCCAAAATAGCCCCCTCAAAATCCAAAAAGCCATCTGGTTGGATCCAATATTTTTTAGGAGGGGGCCCAGATAAATAGAAAAATATTTATTAACAAAAAATATTAGAACTGAGGGGGTAAGCAGTCCATGGGCCCTGTTAGATACACGAATGCTTCATAGAGGCCCACGAATAGCTTCATAGAGTCGCCAGTCGGTTTTGAGGGCGGTCTGAGGGCCCGTAGGTCGGATGAGGGTTCTTCAGACCGTCACAGGCCCCTACAGCGCATGAGAGCCTCGTAAGCCGTCTGAGGGTCATATAAGCCGCCTAAGGGCCACTAAGACCGACAAAAGCCCTCCTTGCACTTGCAGATGCCCAGTCATGCCGACGGAGGGCTCTCTCAGACAAACTAAGGACCCGTTCAGGGCAGTTGAGGGCTTCCTCAAACCGATAGGGGACCCTCAGATCGACAGTGGATCCGATCCGAGCTCCCTCAAACCGATATAGGGTCAGACCAACAGTCGGAACGCATTGATTCTATTTACACACCGTTGAACCCAAGTTGGACCCATCCCATCCAACTGGCCCCCTGGTTTCAATAGGGCCCCAAGGCTCTAAAATTGGGGCTCTCTTGGCCAAAGTATAACTACTCAGCTGTGTCAAAGGATTTGCCGCAGGGGCCTTTGCGTCGCCAAGGGCCCACTGTGTCAGCCAGGGCCCCTATAGAATAAGGACCCCTGGCTTCCAGGGGGGGGGGGGCATGGTCCCTTTGGCCCCCTCCTTGGCTATGCCACTGCAGGTGACAAGCGTTCTTCCAGGCGACCAGGGGGCAGGGGCCAGGCGACCAGGCCCCCAGGCGACTAGCCCCCAAGCGACCGGGGCCCTCTAGGCGACCAGGGGCCCCAGGAAACCGGGGGTCATCGGATGAGTGCAGGGGCCCATTGGGTCATCAGAGGGCCACATAATTGAAACTTCGATATCAATTTTCTTCCGAGTAAAAGACGTTTTATCCAGTGTTTGAAAAAAATATCCCGGGGCCTGAGGGGCTCCCCATGGCGCGTTTTGCGCTCAAGGGAGGGGGCCATTGCCCCCGTGGCCCCTCCCCCTTGGCTACGCCCTTGCCGATATTGTTATTCATGGACAAAGCCAGCTAAATCTCTAAATACGGCTGAGCTAAACAAATAAGCAAGAATCATTACCGGTTCGGGTGGCCTTTACTACAATGTATTATGTTAGTTAGCCCTCGCCCGGTGAGGGGGGTTGATGCACCCCCTAAGGTTTTTCACAAATAACGTAAAAACGGCGGCGCTCAAATTTAGCATACCCTCTGGGGCAACCTTTTGGCACTTGTCCTGAAAATTTCAGGTCTCTAGTCTTTTCAGGTCAGGTCACCAGGTCACAAACCCCGTACAAGGTCAGGGGAAAATTGGACTATGTAGTTTAGCGGCAACCGAATGCCAGTTTTTCGTTGATAGCGTGAGTTCTATAGAACGTAGCGCTACCAAATTTAAGACACGACTTGGAGCATCTGTTTGTCACTTGGCCTTGGAGTTTTAGGTTCCAGTGACCCGAGGCCAGGTCACAAGGTCACAAAAACTGGTACATTGTCAAAATAGCAAGAATACCGAATAAGAATACCTACCTACCACGCAGTTTGCGGAGGGCTGTACAGTCTGTCTTAAAAGTACCGCGCAAAGTGACGGTGGATCCATCAAGCCTGACCGAGGAAGGGCCTGCTGTAATTTGAAAGTCACCGAACCAATTGACCTGGGGAAGGGACGAGGATGTCCATTGCTTCGGTGACTCAAATTTAGCAGCCCTTCATCAGTCAGGCTTGATGGATCTACCGTCACTTTGCGCGGTACTTTTAAGACAGACTGTACAGTCTGTCTTAAAAGTACCGCGCAAAGTGGCGGTGGATCCATCAAGCCTGACCGAGAAAGGATCTGCTTTAATTTGAAAGTCACCAGGGCCTCCTCTAACATACCCACTGGGTGGGCAAATGCCCACCCAGTCACCACAATTGCCCACCCAGTGGCGTCGATTTGCCCACCCAGAAGCAAATGCAAAAATTCTGGTCCGGCCGGACGTCCGGTACTACCTTTCTGGTCTTAACCCACGAGCCGCTGGGGGGGGGCATAAAGTTGCCCCCCCTTTACGTTTTGTGAGATATCTCCGAAACCTGATGAGCTACGAACGTGAAACTTGGCATAGCTTCAAATGAATACCTAGGCAATGTTTGAGGAAAGTTTGGTGGTTGTAGCACCTAAGATGACGTCACAGTGACGTCATAAAGTTTTGCCGTTTTCCGATATGGACCGTTTCTGATGACGCTGAGCATGAAACTCAACTGTAAATGAACTAGACAGCACCTGCTGTCATCCTAAAACATCTAAGTACACTTCCATCTAGTGTCTGACCAATAATTGACCCTTTATATTCGGTCCCATATATCTGATGTATCGTGAGGAATATGAGAGACGCAAATCTATAATTTCACTTATGACGTCACTGTGACGTCACTTCAAATGGGATCGACACCAAATTTGAACACAACCTCGGCTAGGTATTCAGGAAGATGTGTGCAAAGTTTCGCTTCTCTATCTCTTCGCGTTGCGACGATATCGTCGCAGAAGTAAAGGGGGGGCAACTATATGCCCCCCCCCAGCGGCCGGCGGGTGGCGCGGAGGCCCAGCGGCCGCCGGGTTAAGCAAACTGGAGGCTGTTTGAAGGTCAAAAAAAAAAGTTTTCTGGTTGCCCGATATTCAGGGGCGTAGTCAGAATTTCCTCAAGGAGGGGGCCAAACGCACAGGGGCCCAAAATAGCCCCCTCAAAATCCAAAAAGCCATCTGGTTGGATCCAATATTTTTTAGGAGGGGGCCCAGATAAATAGAAAAATATTTATTAACAAAAAATATTAGAACTGAGGGGGTAAGCAGTCCATGGGCCCTGTTAGATACACGAATGCTTCATAGAGGCCCACGAATAGCTTCATAGAGTCGCCAGTCGGTTTTGAGGGCGGTCTGAGGGCCCGTAGGTCGGATGAGGGTTCTTCAGACCGTCACAGGCCCCTACAGCGCATGAGAGCCTCGTAAGCCGTCTGAGGGTCATATAAGCCGCCTAAGGGCCACTAAGACCGACAAAAGCCCTCCTTGCACTTGCAGATGCCCAGTCATGCCGACGGAGGGCTCTCTCAGACAAACTAAGGACCCGTTCAGGGCAGTTGAGGGCTTCCTCAAACCGATAGGGGACCCTCAGATCGACAGTGGATCCGATCCGAGCTCCCTCAAACCGATATAGGGTCAGACCAACAGTCGGAACGCATTGATTCTATTTACACACCGTTGAACCCAAGTTGGACCCATCCCATCCAACTGGCCCCCTGGTTTCAATAGGGCCCCAAGGCTCTAAAATTGGGGCTCTCTTGGCCAAAGTATAACTACTCAGCTGTGTCAAAGGATTTGCCGCAGGGGCCTTTGCGTCGCCAAGGGCCCACTGTGTCAGCCAGGGCCCCTATAGAATAAGGACCCCTGGCTTCCAGGGGGGGGGGGCATGGTCCCTTTGGCCCCCTCCTTGGCTATGCCACTGCAGGTGACAAGCGTTCTTCCAGGCGACCAGGGGGCAGGGGCCAGGCGACCAGGCCCCCAGGCGACTAGCCCCCAAGCGACCGGGGCCCTCTAGGCGACCAGGGGCCCCAGGAAACCGGGGGTCATCGGATGAGTGCAGGGGCCCATTGGGTCATCAGAGGGCCACATAATTGAAACTTCGATATCAATTTTCTTCCGAGTAAAAGACGTTTTATCCAGTGTTTGAAAAAAATATCCCGGGGCCTGAGGGGCTCCCCATGGCGCGTTTTGCGCTCAAGGGAGGGGGCCATTGCCCCCGTGGCCCCTCCCCCTTGGCTACGCCCTTGCCGATATTGTTATTCATGGACAAAGCCAGCTAAATCTCTAAATACGGCTGAGCTAAACAAATAAGCAAGAATCATTACCGGTTCGGGTGGCCTTTACTACAATGTATTATGTTAGTTAGCCCTCGCCCGGTGAGGGGGGTTGATGCACCCCCTAAGGTTTTTCACAAATAACGTAAAAACGGCGGCGCTCAAATTTAGCATACCCTCTGGGGCAACCTTTTGGCACTTGTCCTGAAAATTTCAGGTCTCTAGTCTTTTCAGGTCAGGTCACCAGGTCACAAACCCCGTACAAGGTCAGGGGAAAATTGGACTATGTAGTTTAGCGGCAACCGAATGCCAGTTTTTCGTTGATAGCGTGAGTTCTATAGAACGTAGCGCTACCAAATTTAAGACACGACTTGGATCATCTGTTTGTCACTTGGCCTTGGAGTTTTAGGTTCCAGTGACCCGAGGCCAGGTCACAAGGTCACAAAAACTGGTACATTGTCAAAATAGCAAGAATACCGAATAAGAATACCTACCTACCACGCAGTTTGCGGAGGGCTGTACAGTCTGTCTTAAAAGTACCGCGCAAAGTGACGGTGGATCCATCAAGCCTGACCGAGGAAGGGCCTGCTGTAATTTGAAAGTCACCGAACCAATTGACCTGGGGAAGGGACGAGGATGTCCATTGCTTCGGTGACTCAAATTTAGCAGCCCTTCATCAGTCAGGCTTGATGGATCCACCGTCACTTTGCGCGGTACTTTTAAGACAGACTGTACAGTCTGTCTTAAAAGTACCGCGCAAAGTGGCGGTGGATCCATCAAGCCTGACCGAGAAAGGATCTGCTTTAATTTGAAAGTCACCGACCAATTGACCTAGGGAATGGACGAGGATGTCAATTGCTTCGGTGACCCAAATTTGGCAGGCCCTTGCTCAGTCAGGCTCGATGGATCCACCGTCACTTTGCGCGGTACTTTTAAGACAGACTGTACATGTAACTCTGGAACGAATCGCTCGAGCATCGCTAACCATAAAACATACGACAAAAGTTAACTTTGCAAACTATCATCTTATTTCCAATAACGGCACTGCTTATTTCGCCTCACCCCCGCCCCCCCCCCCGGTAACAGGTTTTGAAATTGATGGAACCTCAAAATAGTGGCTGGATTCGCCCTTGGGCAGGGGAGTAGCGAAAATTCTGCCCACCCAGTGAAAAATCCTTAGAGGAGGCCCTGTCATATTTAGTAACAGCATGTCGTCCTGGTAACCTGGTCTTGGCTGGTTCTTCGTTCGGGCTGCTTACTGAATTAATTTCCGGTTGGTTATGACGGGAGCGTTCTGCGTTTCTGCAAGTTGTCGTGGCAAAACTCAATTATGGCTCACATTTGAAAGTCATTATAGACGGTATGAGATGATGTTTTTTTTATAGAAAGTTGAGTCCAACACCCATGTGTTGTGAGGTGTATATTTGTATTATATTGCTCGAACTGGTCCGACGCATGGCGACAGTCACGTTTTGAAGTAAAGCATTGAAGTTAAAAAAAAAATGTATTGCAATGCTTATCAATAGCCAAATGTGTTGCTCTGAAGTGTTGAATCGAGGTACATACATTCGGTATTGTATGAAGATAAAGGCCCTTTGTATGAATAAAATGTTCATACTTATAGATATCTTTGATTATTTCATTTGTTGAGCAACGCTATGCAGGCAATAAGGAAGCTGGCTTCCGTCACGCATATCAATTGTCAAAGAAGCAGCTCGAGATAAGCGATTAATGATTTGGGTACTTGGTGAACAGATAGGAATATCGCCGCTCGAGGACCAGGTAGTTGTCATCAGGACCGGCGTGTTGTGTAATTGTCACGGCTGGCTTCCTGCTTTCTCCGGTGAGCGGCATGGAGAGCCAGGTGGACAACTGATAACTCTGTCTCGGGATGCTGGCGAGGAGATACGACTGAAAGGAGAGATACGTGAGACAGTATAGACTTCGTGTTGTTTTTGAGACATTGTAGATATAAGCAGCAGCTTCTGTCCAGCATCATCTCTCACATCACCACAACCTCCACCTTCGCCCCTTCCCTGTGACCCACCGTTGAGTGACCGCGCTGGCGGAGGTACGAAGAACCTGACGAACTGATCGCCGGCCGGCCGGGTCTCCACAGCCAGCTGGTCCTTGAGCCGCTGGATCTGGTCCCGGTCCACATCGGCCGTCCACACCAGCTACCGTGGACAGGGTGGACACCAAGGGCGGGGTTATTCGATACCTTGATAGTCGATAGCTAAATAAACTGTCATCGACTGTAATCGTCACACCCCGTGTGGATTGTCCATGACGGTAATACAATACAATACAATGCAATACAATACAATGCAATAAAAACATAATGGAATTCGCACATAGTTAGTTGCGTTCATGAATGTAATTGAGTTACACCGTCCAGAATTTTATTTTATGCCTCATAGACAACAGACAGTCGGCAGCAAGGTTTTGTTAATAATCTGCAAAATTTTTATTTGGTTCCCTGGACGTTCAGTTTGTGAGATCGGGACGTATAAAGAATCACGCACAATGTAAAAGGTCGGTATTTGTTATTGTTGGCGGTTCCCTGCCTCAACGCAATGCTGAGGTATAGATAAAGTTGGATACGTTGCCGTAGCGCAGAGTTCTTCGCCGCTTACCTGTGCCATCAGTGAAGCTACAAATGCAACGGTGATGCCGCTGATCACCGGTCTTCTACTGCTCTTCTGTCGTGACATCTCGGAACCACCTGGATGAGAGGTCATGCCGAGTTTTCAGTTTTCGGCATCTTGAATGGTCGCTCTGTCACATAGGAGGAGTTTGGTGGTGCGATTCAAGGGTAATGAGAGTGAGAGCTAAAGGGCAAAGGTATTTGAGTGACAAGGGATTTCAATGCCATTGTAGATACGCATATTAGCCGCTTTCACGACGGGCTATCTGGCGAATGCACCTAATTTGACCAAATCTACACTAAACCTCTTTTACATTAAACAATCTTCTTATCATAATTTATTTCAATGTTTTAATCGAAAATCATGTCTGATAATTTGAAGAATAAGGTAGGGGAGACCCGGGAGGTATGGGCCCCCTGGAGGTATGGGCCATCGCAGTTTTGAAGAAGTGTTGCGTATTTTTACACATTTGACGGCGTTAAGTGGTTGCAGCCATTCCGTTATACATTCCACGTGATTTTCAAAATCTTCCTAAGTCTTCTTTGGCAATGAGCGGTGATAAAGCGTTTTTGCCCTCTTCGAGTAATGTACGGTACATATAGAAAATTCGTGATAAACCGTTGATCCTAAATAAATAAGAAGATGCTTTCATTCAATGTCCACGTCAATAAGTTTTATCTTTTATCGCGCAAGGTCGAAAATTTAACTCCAAATTTCATTTGAACAGAAAAATATTGTTGATCTTATTTCATGGTGCATGATTGAGTTAACCAAAATACATATGGGCCCAAGTGACCTCCATGAAGTAAGCTGTTGGCCGCTTATGCAGTTCCTGGGCTCAAGAGAGATCAAGGAAGATACCAGTTACGAGTATTATTCTCATCATTGTCGAGAAAATAATATGAAACATGGCACCGGCCCATACCTCCCGGGCCACAAACAGAAAAATATTGACACCGTTAGCGGTGTAATTCCACAGTACATATCTGAGCACTTGAGGAAAGTTAATTTAGTCCCTTCCCCGCTTAAATTACTCGCGCTTCCAAATGAACACCAGGAAGAAGGTAATAGAACACTGTTAGGAGGGTTGGGTGTTTTACTACATGTAGCAAAACACCCAACCCTCCTAACAGTGTTCTATTACCTTCTTCCTGGTGTTCATTTGGAAGCGCGAGTAATTTAAGCGGGGAAGGGACTAAATTAACTTTCCTCAAGTGCTCAGATATGTACTGTGCAATTACACCGCTAACGGTGTTAATATTTTTCTGTGTGCATGGCCCATACCTCCCGGTGTATTTTGATGGATCGAAAAAGCACATGATTTATTGAAAGTTATCTCGAGACAAAATAGTTGATCACAGTTGCCTAACATCAGACACACGTTGCAGGCGAAACGCAATTTCACATACACAGAGTGAAAAACCGGGTCTAGCCACTGCCCACTGGAAGAAAATTGCCTTTTCACAAAACCGGCCCATACCTCCCGGGTCTCCCCTATTACCTGTTAGCATCTAGTTATATGTTTATCAATCGCTTGCTGTTCTGTAGTGGTGTATGCTTTAGCGTTGCTAAGCGGCGAGCTAGACGTGCAGCTTGATAGCTGCTTATTAGGCATTGGAAAAGTTGCATAATTAAGCTAGTTCTGCATTGGTGTGTTACGTGACCTCAACAAAAGTGTGCAAGCAATCCCATGCTCAGAGTGCACTAACAAGAGCTAAAGGAATCAGATAAAACTCTACAATGGCTGTAATTGCTGCATGTTGCTTTGGTAATTGTTTACGCTGCGGCATTGCAGCCTCTGATTCAGTTTCGTGGCCACGCAGAAACAGATTAAACGTTAACATCGTCTGGGAACGCTGTATTGTAGCGCTACCATGTATTACCTTGTAATATGAATTCCCACGCGAGAAATGAAGGATTATTTATGACATGACAAGGCGCTGGTTTCGAGTCTTTAGCATTTTCGCGATAACATCGGTTGCGACATGCTCCGTGTTCGTAGTTATTCATCAGCGCCTTGGTCTTTCATATGCTAGTTAATTCTTGAAAATGGATAACTTAACCTAGGCGTCTAGATCGTGAGTAGGGAAACCAAGAAGAAGTTATTCTACTTATTGATGCCACAACTAAACTTACTTTATTTGAAGCGTCTAACCCATGAAGAAATGCTGTTAAAATCAATCATGAATTTATTCGACAACATTTGCAGCACAAAATATGAGGTACTTTGGACATCGATCTAAGAGGTAAATTGCTAAATTGTGAAGTGTTCTGCTTGGTAAGAGACAATTAGAGTCGTAATAAACGTCATGACGGACCAAAATGTAATTTGCGCAAAATGAGTCGTACGACTCCTGAAATTAAAAGCGACAGGATGTTTGGCATCGAAACAAAACAGCATCTTTCTGTCAAGAACACGGACAATTTCACGCTCCGGCACATCCGTCCGCCGGTCACCGGTGCGGAATTTCGTCACTCAGGGTTCTCCACACTCCTCGTGCCGGCGGAGTCTGGACATTTCGGCCGTCTGAGTGAAACCCCACCGACCTGCCGCCCGGCGGGTCACTCCCCGCTCACTGCTCCCGACGGAGAAATTTCCACATTTCATTGACCGCTGACTTTGTTTGTGCCGGGGTTTGCGTGGGCACTGGACAGCGCGTGGGTAGGGATTACCATCCACTGTCACTATTGTGGAGGGACTAATTCCACTTTATAGCCAATCTGCGCACCATGGGGAATAGGGATGGCTTATCAAATGCAGGAAGTCAGAAAACAATCTTGTTCTCGTTGTTGATACGTCATCTCAGGTGCCGAACCTTTGATATCCATCGAAAAGTATAGCTGCTTTATTTATATGCCTAGCCTGTAACACCTAACTCTTCCTTAAAGTTTGTCAACACTGGCAAACAACATATGCAAATATACTCGTATATGACAAACAACATGCTATAAATGATGGATGTAAATATGCGCCCTTCTGAGCAAGACTCACTCCGGATTTTAGCACGGATCGCGTCTTGGACCCTTCACCGTCGAATACTACTTACTCAACCGACGGTCTACAATCGTGTAGCTGGATAGAACATGACCATTGACCACAGACCATTCAGCGAGCCAGCCATATCTCACTCACAGAACCATTGATCGTGGTCGGTAGTGCGGTACGAGCATAGAGGAATGGACTCGCTGTCCATTCACAATCACTCACGAGCTTATGGTGACTGCCGGCCAACAGAGGCCCAGCTCACCGGTACGGTAATGGTAACCCGTCACGGGACAGTAATTTTGGGAGCGGCACCTTACCTCATCTCATCGGTATAGCTCGCATATATAGCTGGGAATCACGGCACGTTTTACAGTGCATTGCGATGAAGTCGTGCACTTTCCATAACTTATGAGTTACTTCGTTTGCTAAGGATTGATACCCGTAATTTGGATGCTTGCACACATAACCGGTTTCTTGCAAAAAAGTTTTAATTCATGCTGTTCCACATCATGCACACTTAACTGTCGTCTTTGGTGTGAAGCATGCAGCAACCGAGTGTTGTATTTCTTGTGGCTTTCTGGTCAGTTAAAGCAGCCAATCCACACAAATCGTCTACAATACCCTCCAGCATAACTCTCACTGTTATCAGTCGTCCATCTCATCCTCAGCTCGCGAGTCTCATTATATCCACGGGAGGCCGGTAGGAAGGTAGGAATGAGACGAGAGGGAGGCACCGGAGGCGAGAGAAGAACGAAGAGAGAGAGAGAGAGAGAGAGAGAGAGAGAGAGAGAGAGAGGGGAGGGATAGAGAGATAGATAGATAGAGCGAGAGAGAGAGAGGAGAGAATGAGGGAGAGAAGGAGGAAGGGAGGGAGGGAGGGAGAAGAGAGGGGGAGGGAGAGGGAGGGAGAGAGAGAGAGAGAGAAGAGAGAGAGAGAGAGAGAGAGAGAGAGAGAGAGAGAGAGAGAGAGAGAGAGAGAGAGAGAGAGAGAGAGAGAGAGAGAGAGAGAGAGAGAGAGAGAGAGAGAGAGAGAGACTGCGGAGGCTAGGAAGAAGCCTGGCAGACCGAAGCAGCGACTGGAAGAGAGTTGGTGGACCGCTGGAGCGCTTAGACAGGTGAGAGGGCGGGCGAGGCCAGGGCAAAGCTGGACGGAAATGAATTGCCACCGTCATGAATGCGTGTTTACCGGAGACCGGGGGTGTTTACGGTACAGGAGTGGAGGGAGAAACCGATGGGCGGCGGAGATTGACGTGGCCCCGCGGGGCCTTCCACTCCTTCCACTGCTCGCCCGCGGGCGAGCAGTGGAAGGAGCGGCTACAGACCCAAAGAGCCGGAGATAACGGAGGCTGGATGATATAGTGAGTTATGAATGATATGATGGATGATATAGTAACGCCTGAACAGGAAGGAAGGTATTAGTAAATGTAATTTGCAATTCATATTTGCACAGGAATAGAGCACAGGAGAGTTCCAATCACCCACAAAAACAGAGTGACGGAGGCGCTACGCCGGGCCGTCACGCTAATTAAGAGTTCATCCTAATTAAAACCCCGTCCCGTCAACAACAGCCGTCAACGGGCTCCGCCGATGATGGAGCGTGGTAAATCGAGTATTCCCGGCGTTTCTCTGAAGAGCGAGCACCAAAACAAAACGATTTCGGACGCGCACGGCGGATGGCGGTGGGCGGGCGTTCCATTGACGGTGAGGGCTGATGACGGACCCTCAGAGCGGCGGCAGCGGGACAGAAAGTTGGCGGGCGGCAGCGGCAGTGAAGAGGCTACAACCAGCGCCGACGCCTCGCCAACCCTCCCGCACAATCGTCTGTGTTGACCCGCGCCCAGCGGCCCGCTTTCCGACGTCCGTAACACCGCACGCGACACACGCGACGCTTGGGTCACCCGCGGCGGCGAGCGGCCGTGGAAACTTTCTCCGGGCGGCGGCGGTGAGACAATTGATGCGCACTCCGGAGACGCCCACCTGCCAGTGGGTCCTGGACTCCTGAGGCCAAACAGTTGACGCTTTGGGGTCTGCTCTGGACTGAGCTCATGAGCTGGGTCGACCGGGAACAGCTGAGGACGGACAGGCGAAGTGCAGAATGGAGAGACAGGGTAAAGAAAAGGGTGGGAATGGGATCCACGGGGCCT